AGAGGAGAGAGAGAGAGAGGGGACTGGCGAGGRAGAGGAGGAGAGACCCTCCAAGCTCCCGGTACCTCAGGCAGCAATGGCCGCCGTGCTGGCTCAGTCGCCCTGCTGCTGCTGCGCTATGCTGCGCTCCTGCTTCAGCCCCTGCGCTAAGTTTAGCGCATCAAAACAGTGCACTAGCACTGACCATGCCGTGCCGGTAGAGTTCCGGTAGGCCGATCCTTGAACTGAGGCGGATACCGGTACTTAAACCGGTAGGCAATGGTCTGGCCTCAATGCTGCGAGGCCAGGCCAGACCCTGGACCGTCCAGATGGACGGTTCAGCCTCAATCGGCGGGCGGCAGCAAGAGCGCCGCCAGGCCCAAACGAAGTGTCGTTTGGGCCTATCCGATGGGATTAGTCCAAAATCAGGCCTTTAGGGCCTGTAACCCCAAAGGTCGGGCCTTTAGGCCCTGGTGTGTCCCTCCGGCCCTAAGTCGGGTCCGGTAGGACCCGTGTGAGTCGAAGATGTAACATCTAGCCTCTCATTGTCAAGTTCATATGTGTTGTGATGCTCCGGTTCCTACTTAGTTGAACTTTCCTCTATGTGCATGTGCTTTCCACTTCTTCTAGCTTCTCAATTGTCAAGTTCATATGTGTTGTGATGTTCCGGTTCATACTTAGTTGATCTTTCCTCCATGTGCACGTGCTTTTCACTAGTTCTAGCTTCTCATTGTCATATTCATATGTGGTGTGATGTTCCAGTTCCTACTTAGTTAATCTTTCCTCTATGTGCATGTGCTTTTCACTATTCTAGCTTCTCATTGTCAAGTTCATATGTGTTGTGATGTTCCGGTTCCTACTTAGTTGATCTTTCCTCCATGTGCATGTGCCAATCACTAGTTTAGCATCTCATTGTCAAGTTCATGCATGTTGTGATGTACTGGTTCCTTCTTAGTTGATCTCTCCTCTATGTGCATGTGCCATTCGCTAGTCTAGCATCTCATTGTCAAGTTCATGCATGTTGTGATGTACCGGTTCCTTCGTAGTTGATCTTTCCTCCATGTGCATGTGCTTTCCACTAGTTCTAGCTTCTCATTGTCATGTTCATATGTGTTGTGATGTTCCGGTTCCTACTTAGTTGATCTTTCCTCCATGCGCATGTGCTTTCCACTAGATCTAGCTTCTCATTGTCAAGTTTGTATGTGTTGTGATGTTCCGATTCCTACTTAGTTGATTTTTCCTCCATGTGCATGTGCTTTTTACTAGTTATAGCTTCTCATTGTCAAGTTCATGTGTGTTGGGATGTTCCGGTTCCTACTTAGTTGATCTTTTCTCCATGTGCATATGCCAATCACTAGTCTAGCATCTTATTGTCAAGTTCATGCATGTTGTGATGTATCGATTCCTTCTTAGTTGATGTCTCCTCTATGTGCATGTGCCATTCACTAGTCTAGCATCTTATTGTCAAGTTCATGCATGTTGTGATGTACCGGTTCCTACATAGTTGATCTTTAATCTATGTGCATGTACTTTTCACTAGTTCTAGCTTCTCGTTGTCATGTTCATATGTGTTGTGATGTTCCAGTTCCTACTTAGTTGATCTTTCCTCCATGTGCATGTGTTTTCCCCTAGTTCTAACTTCTTATTGTCATGTTCATATGTGTTGTGATGTTCCGGTTCCTACTTAGTTGATCTTTCCTCCATGTGCATGTGCTTTCCACTAGATCTAGCTTCTCATTGTCAAGTTCGTATGTGTTGTGATGTTCCGGTTCCTACTTAGTTGATCTTTCCTCCATGTGCATGTGCTTTTCACTAGTTCTAGCTTCTCATTGTCAAGTTCATGTGTGTTGGGATGTTCCGGTTCCTATTTAGTTGATCTTTCCTCCATGTGCATGTGCCAATCACTAGTCTAGCATCTCATTGTCAAGTTCATGCATATTGTGATGTACCGGTTCCTTCTTAGTTGATCTCTCCTCTATGTGCATGTGCCATTCACTAGTCTAGCATCTCATTGTCAAGTTCATGCATGTTGT